GGAATTCAAGAAAATGGCCGTATCTTCGGTGTCACCTAGGTGCAGCTGATACGCTTGCTCGTCACCCTCCACCAAAAAGCTCCAGTCGTCGGCTTTGTATACATCGGCTGGGCTGAGGACGGAGCACTCCTCGCCTGTGGCTTCGACTGACCTTGACAGGCGGGCGAGGGCGCATCTTGGACAAGTCTCATAACTTGAACAGGGATGACCAACGTTGAGGTTTTGTCTTGAAGTTTGAAGCACAGGTTTTGAAGCGTGGCATTGACTTAGCCCAATTCTGTTCATGTGGCAACGAACGGTGCACGTTGAGCCAAACTCTTCACAAGGGCAGTCTGGTCCGCCAATAACGGTACAGCCACATTCAGAGCCATTGCAGCTGATCTCCCCATGGTGGATGTCCCAAAATAGACAAAAAGCACCATCATCTCTGGCGTTGTGACATGACGGGGAGCATCCCCGGCCACTAAGTGCGCATGGGCAGTCGATCTGATTGGTACCGAAATCCCTTGAGACTCCTTCGTCCGCCGTGAGCAACAAAGAAACGGATTTGTCGGCACAGGAACAGTTGCTGTTACACCCTATTATGCCAGACGTTGTGGGATTTTTGGATAAGATCCATCTGATGTGAACTGGTGCCGTTTCTTGGCGTTGACGCTTCAGTGCGGGCTCGGAATCGCCATTTGACCTTGCGAAATCGAATTTCAGAGGCAACACTGTGGCATAGATGTACTTTGCTCTCCCTTCATCGTGATTTGATCTTGATTTAGGGCTCCTTACCTCTGGATATCTGATCAGCATTTTGTCCGAGCTAGCACCCAGCGATGCTCCAATTTCGCGTAAGAATGAGATCTTCTCTTCTGTACCAGGCAAGAAATTGAGAAGAATCGAGATTTTGTTCAAACCGAAGAAGATAGGAGGCGTCTGTTCTGTGTCATTGAGAAGTGCATTGCACCGTCGCAAGCCTAAACGGAGAAGCTTGGCTGACTGAAGGCGCTCGAGCTCCGTGCCATTATTGAGCTTATGAGCGGCATCTGCCAGATATTTGAGCCATTTCAGTGACGTCTGAGGTTCGTTGATGACTTGAGAAAGGCGAGTAATGAACACGCACCCTTCGACGGCAATTGAATTGGGAGGTCCCCAGGGTGCGATGATGGCTCCCAGGGCAATCAGCCAGAAATCCTCGATTGAAACTCTGGATGTTTTGGATCCAATCTGACGTTCGGCTGTCACTGGGGCTGAGTAGTACCTCATTCTGGCCAACGGCAGTGACCAAAATACTCCTTCCTTGCTGTGTGATGCAGTTTGAGCGGTGATAGTGATCAGAGACCCGGGTATGAGCTCGTCATGCTGCTCGATGTGCTGGACTTCCTTAAGAAGAACTTCCATATCTGGATAAAGATGCCATGATGACATCGCGAGGAGAATTGTTCCATTCTGAACGCGCTGGTCTACCCCCTGCACTGACCGATCCATGGCGGTCATCCCAGACACCCAAGCCTCGATCACACTTGCATAAGGGTCCTTCTTTGAGTTGACAGGAAGCCTCACATTGCTGATAATCAGCATAAGCTGGGTTTGCTGCAGTTTTCGCCATCTGCAGTTTGCAGCCAGGAACGAGCGCTTGCATCCCAAGATGCAAGTTGCTGCCTAGAGAAAGTTTGCTTTGCTGCCATCAGAGAACCTATCTCCATCGCGTTCGACGCGCCATATTGTCGCAGGATCTCTTCCTTCCGACGATCCACAAGTTCAACCCAGAGGGATATAGCTTCGTGGCTTCTCCAGATTCTGGCGAGCATGCAGGCCAGTAGGTGAACCCCAATGGCACCACGACCAGAAGTGGCTGCCGCCCACAGACTGGTGCCATCGAGACCAGCTTGACCCTCGAAGATTCTTGAATCGAGCCCCGTGGAGCACTGCGATGTAGAACGACTCGATATGTTGGATGCCCTCTTGCCATATGCCTGGTAGAGATGTGGCATAGCTGGTACCAGCGACTCAAACAAAGCGCCGAGCTTCCTAGCCGTGATATGGGTTTGACCCTCCTCAGCATCGCCTCGTCTGCGTGTGGAGAGTGAGTCACCGACACCAACAAATTCCTTCGGCGCCTCCACTTTCATAAGCGAGAAATCCAAATTGAAGTTGGCAGCGGCAATCGTCAACTCCTGTGGTACTGAGACAAGCGCGGCATTGAGCTTTGATATCTGGTCCATTATGTCGTCTGAATCGGCTTTTTGGGGCAGTGCAAGATCGCGGGCTATTTCGTGTATTGGATTCTTCAATGATCAAACTTGGAGATTGGAGGTTTCGGGATTTCAATCTATGTGACAGGTCTAGGCGGGGTAAAAGTTCCACGTGTTGCTGTTCGCGAACCAGTCCTGATGAGGCGACACCGAAATCAGGCTGTGCTATGCTTGGACAGCAACACAATGCAGCCAAGACTCCGTTAGGCTGCACTAGCTTCTCATCGTAGGTGACACAATCATTGCCAATTACATCATTCACGGCCTTCTTAAGTAATCATAACATTGGGCCGGAACAGTCTTGTGACCCGTGTTTCCAGTACGACACAAAATGTCAGACTCAACTGCGCACAGCCGGTTTCCCTAGAGAATCTCTTGCAGAAGGAGCTTTTGCTATGATTTCATGCATTTACAAGCCATACAAGTTTGATTAATTCGTCAAAAAGTATACTCGCGGTATTGGCACTATTCGGCAAGGCAACACTATTGATGTTTTGATCAACGCTCCTTTACTTCCGTCATTTGTTCTAACTTGTTTCCGACACCTCATTATTCGGTACAGAAGTAGTCCATTATGTAAATACTGAAAGGGTGGCATTCAAGCTTGCCTGATCGGCGCCCCCGCAAGGCAATCAATCAAGTTTGAGGCTCATAATTGACTTGATTGCTTCGCGATGGCTTCATAAATGATTGATTGATTGGTTGAACTTGACAAGTTTACTTGCCTTACAGGGGGCGCTGTGTCTGATATACTTAAAAGGCCTCCACGACTGTAATTTAGTCGAGAAAGAAGTGGTCTTGCCGACCGATTACGACGATCAGTTTAAAATCCTCCTTCTTAGACAAAACAGAGAAATAGCTATCGTGAAGTTGGGTCTTTCGATAAGCTTTTGAGATGCAATCTCAACTATTCCAACATGGAAGCTACCGAAAGTAGCTGGTCACAATTTTAGCAGCCTATCTAGGTTTCCGTGGGTAAATAAATTCATCTGTTCCTCATCCAAAAAGTCAATGTCCTCGATGAGCCGTTTCCCGTCCGCATTGGATGCATAAGGATAATCCACCGAAAAGCATATCCGGTCCATCGGCATGACATCGACTAACGTCTTGAGTGGCGTCGTGGTGAACATTCCACTCGTGGTAATGTAGAAATTCTCTCGCAAGCACTGAAGCGGTCCCTTTTTATGTCCTGCCCTCTTCATCGCCTTTCCGAGGGTATCCTCAATGCGGCCAATCATGACCGGAACCATCTCGCCACCGTGGCCAATGATGATCTGGAGGTTCGGCAGCTTGTCAAACAGCCCGATTGACATGAGTCTGACTACGTTGAGACCGACCTCCGAATGCCATCCCCAGGCTCCGGTGGATACCATGAAGGCAGCTTCTGGCGAGATGGTGTCTCCGCTGAATAAGACGTCGTGGGCCTTTGGACTCGGGAAGCTGGGATGGATGTAAATGGGGACCCCGAGATTCGCTGCTGCCTCAAAGATTGGGAAGTACTTTCGGTTATCAAGGAACTCCCCGTCAACCGTGTTGTTGATGAGAGCTCCCTTGAACCCAAGTTCCCTAATGCATCGCTTAACTCCGCTACCGCCTTCTCCGGATGCGCGGTTGGTAAGCAGGCAAAAGCTGCAAACCGCGCGGGGTGTGCTTTGACAGCTTCGTACAGCTGGTCGTTTGTTTCGTGACATCTTTCAATGTCTTTCACGTTATAGACCGTCTGAGAGAGTACCTGGAATTCCATCAGCGATTGCACACGCGGCTGTGACCAAGAGACTATTGCCTGTGTACTGATTCCATGTTTGTCCATATCGGCGATGCGGCCTACCCCGATGTCCCGCAACTGCGACACAGGCCATTCAAAACCCGGATGATGCGCAGGGAGCTGGCCATCGAAGGCCGTTGAGCTGAAGTGTTCTTCAGCCGCGACAATTCTCATGTTGTTCAATTCTCGTTATGCAAGAATTTCAGTGGAATTAATCTCGACGTTCAAAGGCCGTCGAATGGTCGGGGATCACGGAGACTTTTATTCTTCCTCAGCAAACGCTGAAGCTAGCGCAGCTCGGTTTCTCATTCGGTACCGACTACGGCACACGGGGTGCTAATGAGTGAGGGTTTGATCCCATCATCGGCAACTCTATCGAGACCATGACGTAGATGCCCGGATTTCCGGCTTCGGCATTTCCGGCGACGGCGACGTTCGGTCAACGCTTAATGTCCGCGCCGGAAGGTCCACTCATCGGGCTTCTGCCCCACTACCTCCGAGCTGTCAGCAACTAATTGTTTTGCGGCTTCGTGAGTCAGGCTTGAGTGGGATTATTAACCGCTTACATTGTTTGAAATTGAGCGCGATCAAGCGCCGACGTAACTCTGACTGCGTACCTTAACGGTTGGGGAAGAGTCTGGATGTATAGGTAATTAACAGGAGGGACTTCGTCTCATAGAGCCAAAATGGATAGTACCTCAGGAACAAAGAAAGGCTCCTGTTACAGTGCTAAACAAATCCAAGTCCTTCGTTCGACGACAAACGGTTAGAGTGCATATTTCCTTTCACATTCTGCGGATTCCATTCAGAACGTTTAATTCTTTTCTGTTAAAGAACACCCCAATCTGTTCAGCTTAGACCATACGTCTGCGGGGCTATTGAAACTTCATCTCATACATGACTTGCTTTCACACCACGTAAGTCTGCGATGCATTATACCAAAACCTGCAAAACGCCTATTACACTCCGCCAAAAAGAGCGAAAAAGGAAGGCATTGCCTCGAGGGCGAATCGAACGCCCGATCTTCTCATTACGAGTGAGACGCTTTACCACTGAGCCACCGAGGCATTTAGGAACCAGATCGTGGTTGGTGGGCCACAGATGCGAGCTGGGGCGGATGCAACCAAACTAAGGGGTGCAGAATTGCGATGGAGTGTTTGTTGTAAGCGAATATCTCTGGGTGTTGTGGATTGCTGCAAGTTGTGCGAGGAAACGCCCGTCATTCGTTGGAAAAGCCGTTTGAGTTATTAGTCAACGACCGCGCGGTTCATCCCTTGCTCTCCGTCTTACAACGCCGGGATTGCGTGTGGGCTTTTGCGCCCAACTCCGACCGATGTGCTGATACCGCGCGGGCGCCACCGTAAGCAGCCAAGGCGGCAGGGACACACCTTAAGCCACAAGTGTTGGCTCATCGCAAAGAGAACGCCAATGGTTTGCGTCAACTTACACACCTTGCATATTAGTTTGGATGTCGGTGGTCAAGTTGCAGACCCCGCGCGCGCGAGTCCTTGTGTGCAGCGAAATTAACTCTAGCTGGCCTCAACTCACAAGCTGGTATTGATAATCAGCGACACGCCGGAAAGAAGTGTACAGAACTTGTGTCACTTACCGGCCAGCTAGCCAAGCCGATGCCGACGTGGGGCTTGGGAAGGGACTTTGGTACGGAGAGTAGGTTGCAATAGACACCGGTCGCCTGCTGAGGCAGCGAGTTGTACCACAGGCAATGCAGTGCTCGTTGTTGTCCTCGAACATTAATTACGAGTATAAAATCAGAGTTCTTCGTACCCTGTTGAAGACTCGAGAAAGTATTATCATCAAAACTCATAAGAAGCCTCTTTCATTCCTCAGAACTAACTAAAACATCAACTTCCAACATGGCCGCCGCCAAGAAACTCGCTGTCGTCGCTACCAGCACCCGCAAAGTCAGAATCGGCCCCAAAGTCGCAGAAATCGTCAAAAACACCATCAGCCAAGACGCCTCCACCAACAAGATTGACCTTGCGCTGGTCGAAGTCGCCAAATTCAACCTACCCGTCTATGATGAAGTCGCCCTTCCCGCTCAGGTGCCTGCCGTTGCCAAATTCGAGCATGCTCACTCCATCGCGTGGAGCAGTGAGATCGCCAAGTACGACGGGTACATCCTCGTCGTCCCAGAGTACAACTACGGCATGGCCGGTGGTACGAAAAACGCCATCGACTACCTGTACAACGAGTGGATCGGCAAGCCGGCGGCCGTGGTAAGCTATGGCATCGCGGGCGGCAACCGGGCGTCGGAGCAGGTCAAGGGCACGTTGGAGGGCATGAAGCTCCGTGTTGCGGCAACCCGCCCGGCGCTGTCATTTGCGGGCGGCGCCGGCCCAGATCTAGTGGCAGCCATTAAGGGCGAGGTTGGAGAAGACTCGCGCAAGGATTGGGAGGCCAAGTCGGAGGATATCCTCAAGGCATTTGGGGAGCTAAAGCAGCTCTTGAGCGAGCCTCCAGCGCCTAAAGCCCCGCTTGCTATTTGATTTCCTGGAAGATGTTGTGCATCCCCCATGTTCTCTTTCAGAGCCTGATTTTGTTTTCTGTCTTCAGAAATGTTGATCACCTTACCCAGCGACGAGCGGGGACCCACCTCGTAATGTCGCTTAACCCCCTGCCAACAGCATCTTGATCCTTCGTGTTAGTGTTGTTCTGCTTTGCTGCCTAGTACCAATGGATTATGACTGCTGTGCCGCATTCTACGCCGCCCGTTCTTGAAGCCTAAAAGTTCTCGTGAATCCTTCCAAAAGTTTTCCCCCTTTCTTCTCTTCTCGCCATGCATGCATCACAGTCACTCGCTTCTTCCATGCTCGCCCTGCCATGAAGTTGTCCGTCATGTCTGCGGTCGCTCTATGGGCCGCAGCGGTAACAGCTCAAGTCCGTCTACCATTCACCCGGCAGTCTCACCCATTGAGCAGTAACGCCAGGCGTCGTGACGATGAACGTCGCTCCACCTCAACAGTCGACTACTTCAGCGCTGACACGGTCTATCTCGTAAACGTCACCGTCGGCACGCCGCCACAGAACATGTCGGTGATGCTCACCGTCCAAGCCGGGGAGACATGGGTAGTCAACGCCAACAACTGCGACGAGGACGGATATTCGCTCAAATACGGGTGGTGCAAATACGGCTCCTTCATGCCTAACGAGTCGTCGACATATGTCAACCCCGGCACAGAGACGTTCATGACGAGCTACACCGAAGGGTACGCGTATGGGGAGATTATGAGCGAAACACTGAGCATCGGCGACGTCCACTTAGGCAAACTAAACATGGGGGTCGTTGACACAGCAGACACGTACATTGGCGTACTGGCCCTGGGCTTCAACACGAGCGCGTACACCCCCAGTCCCTACAGCTCCAGCTCAAGTAATACAAGCAGCGAAAGTCTGCCTACCGTTCCCGACCGCCTGCTCACTGATGGCATGATCAACTCCACCGCGTATAGTCTATGGGTAGATGATCTCTCTACTGAGTCTGGGAGTCTGCTCTTGGGTGCGGTCGACAGATCGAAGTTTGACGGCCCGCTCACCCGGTTCCCGATCGTGACTAGCTTCTCGACCTCAAAGGTCTTCAACACTCGCATCCAATCTATCAACGGCAGCAAGTCAACATCGGACGTCTTGGAGCCCTTGGGCAGTCGCGGGTTGTCCTACAACGACAAACCTTTCGTCCGGATCAGTCCCCACAACATCGCGTCCTGGCTTCCCGATGAAATCGCCCAAGATATCTACGCCATCGCAGGCGCGACGTGGCTTGAGTCGCATTCGAACTATGTAGTCCCTTGCTCTGCCAACTCCTCAACTGCACAGCTGGCTATCCAGCTTCACGGCTTCGATGGGCCGGTTCTGAACGTGCCGATTTCCGACCTCGTCATTCCAGCTGACTTTTGGTCGTCGAGCAAGTGGTCTTGGGATACTGAGACTGCAACACAGTACTGCCTCTTTGGAGTACAATCAGACAACTCATCGACGTCCTCGACTTCCACCACGTCCGGCAGCTCGAGCTCGACGTACAGCCTCGGCGGCATGATGCTAAAGCGCGCATACATGGTCTTCGACCTCGCCAACGAAGAGATTGCGATCGCGAAAACTAAGCTCGGCGGCGGCACGACTGAAGACGTCATCCCTTTCCCCAGCTATGCTGCAGAGATCCCCGGGTCTACCTCGGTCAGCGTCGTCGTTTCAGTCTATTGTCCTGTGGGCGCGACGTCTGAAGAGTGCGACCCTAATGGATCTGGATCGGGCGATGGCTATGGCTATTACGACTCCGTTGGGCTTTCCAGGGGTGCCAAAATTGGCATTGGCGTCGGCGTCGGCGGGATTTCGCTCATCGTGCTGGCGTTGACGGTATGGGCCGTCATGAGGTGTCGGAGGATCAGGCGTGCAGAAGCGGAGCTGGCTGAGAAACAGAAACGCGCGGAAGAGGGCACGGGAGCAGCTGCCGAGACTGGCGTTGATAAGGATTTGAATCCTGCCATGTCACCAAAGTCTCCTGTTGCAGTCAAAGAAAGCACATCGATGAGTGAGTCGGCGCAGGATGTTACGACAACAGGTAACGTCGAGGGGAACAAAGTCGGCCCATCAAGGCCTTAGTGAGGACCACTTGAGTTATGATAGAATATCTTAATGCAACATTTAATCCCCCCGTGCTTCGTACATGGGGTGTAGTCATACTTTACGGCAATCTTGCCTCTGCCCAATTGTCAGTCTCCAACGTCGATGCCAGATTGCCGGAGTCAGGGGACTGGCGTCAGTCGGTTAGCACGTAACGTGCGGACCGGTCCGGAACCTTGCCCGCAGCCAGTCATGGAAAGCGGTGGTAACCGTCTGAACTCGCCATGTGCAACCAGGTAGCATCGAACACTCGCCGAGATCCGGTCAGTGAAGGCCAGCAACTTGGTTCGTCGGCGAGGGAAGATCCTAATCTACCCGGGATGCCCATCTGTCGTCGCCGTTTGCAACGTTGCAGATCTCTCATACCCTCATGAACCGTACGGATGGACTCAAAGTTGCAAAGGCAGGCGCGGATGCCACTCTGTAATATGCACAGAATCAGATGGCAGCAGCTCATCTGGCGAAAGGGGCCCCCTGAAGGGCAACCCTTTTGGAGATCAGGGGGCGGGGCGGGTGATGCGCCGGTGCCCGTCTTATCAGATCTCCACCTTCCGGAAGGATAATAACTTCCGTAGGATTGTTGGAGGTGGGTGGAAGACGGGGTAACCCCGACGCCGAATAAGGATTTGTTGGAAGTGTTGTTGGTTGCCGTTGTCGCGCTATTTTCCGAATGCCGCCTTCTCGGCTCTAGTCAACATGATATCTGTCTCAGCAACTCAGTAGTAAAGAAGAGAGATCCAATTTACGTCAGACTTCTGGAAGAACAACTGCCGCGATAAGCCGGTATACGGCTCCAGCAGATTCGTCCAAATGGCAGCATGTGCTCACGTTAGTCCTGTCCGAAAAGAGCGATAAGGGCCAGGGATGGAGGGTCACATTCGGCCCCGACTCGGTCATTCGCTGTCAACTCACCAAATTCGGGGCACATGGCCCTTCAAGGGTAGCTCTTGAAGAATGCAAGACGTTCAGCCAATCTGGCGGCGTCGCTGGACATGCTAGCAGAGGAAAAGACCGGCTACACCTGCATTAGCTCCGTCGCTTCACCTTGCGCCAACCACTCACCAGGCACCATCACCAAGTCCTCACCTATGGTGTTGGCGGCGCTCCACCATGCACACACACGCGCGTACACACACACACACATACAAGCGAAATTCCACGCGAGATTCGCAGTGCACTGGTGCAGCCAATATGGGCGCGCGAGGCATGTCATCCTTTGGTGGGTTGATGGCACGCTAGACCACACGCTTGACGGATCACTGTCAAATTGGTTGTAACCATCTAAGCGTGACGCGAGCGACAAGACCACGATGCCTTCACGCGCCTCGTGGAAATTGCGCTGCGAATTCTTCACAAGCCAAAAAGCTGGCAGGATTGGCCCAGGGGAGTTGAGAGTTTGATTGGCAGAGAACGTAACGTTTCGCATGTA